TAGTTCTCCGAAATCTTCCAAGACAAATCTCAGCCATATAGCTTGAGTAGTAGCCTCTGATGCACTTATGTACTCTGCTTCTGCAGTGGATAATGTCACATAACTTTGTTTAACTGAAGCCCAAGAAAAAACTCCACTTCCAAAAGAAAATGCATATCCAGATGTACTTTTGCTATCATCTGATGATCCACCCCAGTCACTGTCGCAATAGCCAATCAACATTGCTTTCTTGCCCTTTGTATACTCCAAACCATAGTCTATAGTCCCTTTGATGTACCTGAGCACACGTTTGGCAGTTCCAAAATGCTTGCTAGTAGGACAGTGTATAAATCTAGCAAGTAAACTAGATGCATACATGATGTCTAGCCTAGTAGCAGTGAGATATAGAAGACTTCCCACAATGCTTCTGTATAACTCTTCACTTACTGCTCCACTTCCATCATCTTTAGTTAATTTCTCAGTTGCCACAAGTGGTGTGATCACAGATTTGCACTCATTCAGACCGAACTTGCTTAGTAAAGAACTTGCATACTTCTTCTGATGAATGAAGATGCTAGAGTCGGTTTGGATCACCCCCATTCCAAGAAAGTGATGTAACAATCCCAAATCTGTCATCTCATATTTCATCTTCATATCTTCCTTGAATTTTTCTAGCATTGTTTTACAGTTTCCAGTGTAGACTATGTCATCTACATAGATGGAAACAATCAAGACATCTTCTCCCCTTGCCTTTATGTATAGAGTTGGTTCACTTAGGCTCTTCTCAAAATCACACTGTGTGAAATAGTTATCAATTTCACCATACCAAGCTCGTGGAGCTTGTTTTAGACCATAGAGAGCCTTAGGAAGTTTGTACACTTTTTCTTCCTTGCCTTTAACAACAAAACCTTCGGGCTGTTCAACATAGACCTCTTCTTGTAAAACTCCATTCAAAAAAGCCGATTTCACATCTAACTGATACAACTTCCAGCTCTTGTGTGCAGCTAAGGCAATCAAAGTTCTAATAGTATCTAACCTAGCAACTGGTGCATAGGTCTCATTGTAGTCCAAGCCAGGCTTTTGAGCATAGCCCTTTGCAACTAACCTTGCTTTATTCTTCAACACTGAACCATCAAGGTTTAATTTGGTTTTGTACACCCATTTAACCCCAATGACAGGTTTCTCAGTTGGTCTATCAACAAGCATCCAGGTGCCATTCTTTTCAATCATGAACATCTCATCCTCCATGGCTTTTAACCAAGACACATCTTGTTTGGCATCTTCATATTTCTCTGGATCCATAATACAGAGATTACATTGTGCTAAGACGTCATCCAGTTTTCTCCACTTCAATGGTGTATGATCAAATGCTTGAGTATCCTTTTCACTCAAGTTTGAGTTGTTTACAGATTCACCTGATGTAAGTCCCTTAGATTGGACAGAATCTCCAATACTAAGAACATTCCTAGGTGAGCATGCTGTTGATGAGGTAGGAGTCTGCATCATTCCTTCATTTCTTCCTGTTCTTAATTCATCATAAACAAGGTTTTCAGTAGTAGAGATAGGCTGCTCAGAGTTCACTTCCCAATTCCATACAGCTTCTTCATCAAAAACAATATCCCTTGATAATATCAACTTCTTTGATATGGGATCAAACACCCTATATCCCTTTTCACAAGTTGCATATCCCACAAACACCCCTTTGAAACTTTTAGGCTCAAGTTTATGTCTGTGCTCACTTGGAACATGAACATAACATGCTGAACCAAATACTCTCAGATGAGCTATTCCTGGTTTCCTTCCCGAGTAGGCTTCAAAAGGTGTGATGTTTTTCAAAGCCCTTGTGGGACATCTGTTTAAAACATACACAGATGTGTGAACTGCCTCTGCCCAGAGAAAATATGGTAAACTCTTCTCATGCAACATAGATTTAGCCATCTCAACCACAGTCTTGTTTTTCCTTTCTACTACTCCATTTTGCTGTAGAGTATATGCAAGGGTAAACTGCCTTTGAATTCCAGCTTTTTCACAGAACGAGTCAAATTCGAATGATTTGAAGTCCCCTCCTCTATCACTTCTCAGATACTTGATCTTGAAACCACTTTGTAGTTCTACCATGGCTTTGAATTTTTTAAAACAGTTGAATGCATCAGATTTGTATCGCAGAAAATAGATTCATATCATCCTGGTCATATCATCTACCAAAAGCATGAAATATTTATTTCCTGCAATTGACTCATTTTTCATGGGTCCACACAGATCAACATGTATAAGTTCAAGTGGAGAAGTTGCTCTCTGTACTTGACTTCTTGGAAACTCTTCTCTGTGTTGTTTTCCAAATTGACAACCTGCACAGACTCCATTGTAGTCTTCAAGCTGAGGTAAGCCGTGTACCATATCCTTGTCTCTCAACTGTTTGAGACCATCAAGATGCAGGTGTCCAAATCTCTTATGCCAAATCTCAGTGGAGTGAGTGACACTAGCCTTTAAGACTACTTGATTCTCAGATAATAAAACCAGTGGATAACACATGTTCACTTTCTTCTTCACTTTCATGATTAAACATTCCAGTGATGGACCATCATACACACTGCACACTCCACCACCAAACACAAGAAAATATCCGTGCTCATCCATTTGACCTACACTTAGCAGATTCTTTTTTAAACCAGGCAAATACATTACCTTTCTCACATATTTTCTGCCCTTATTTGTGTCTATCACCAGTGATCCCATTCCAGCTACATTCACAAGATCTCCAGTTGGCATTTGAACTTTGCCAGCTATGTTGGTTCTCACATCAACCAGCAAATCCACATTTCCTGTCATGTGGTTACTGCAACCACTATCTATGTACCAATCTCCATTGACCTTAGTCTCAGCAACTGCACAATTTGCATAAAATAGATTTCCTGTCACCTCCATTTGATTTGCACAGTTTGCCTTTTGAACAGACTTTCCAACAGTACACTCTTTGGCCCAATGTCCAAATCTATCACAATTATGGCACTTCGATTTCCCATTGTATCTACATTCACCATAATGAAACTTTGAACACACTTTACATTGAGGTTTTACACTCTCTTGACCCATAACTTGTGAAGAAGTACTATTCTGTGCAACATTTGTGAATGATTTTTGCTGAAACTTTGGTTTTGAATCCCACTTCTTACCCTTTTTATTCCAATTTTTCTGTGATTTAAAAATACTAGACTGAGCATAACCTCGATTCTGCCATTTTGAATTAACAGTAAGAGAAGAAAATGCTCTCTCAGTTACATCGGTGGAATGCAAATCAAACCTCTGCTCTTGACTCTTCAATATAGCTAGTACCTCTTGCAGTTCAACAGATTCTAGACATTTGGTATTTTCTATCACTAAGCATATAGGATCATACATCTTAGTGAGACTGATTAACACCTTCTGAACTAATCTCTCATTTGACAGAGTTTCACCAAACGTCTTCATTTGATTAATCAGATCATTTAAACGAGTAAGATACACAGTCAAAGATTCATCATCACGCATTCTAGTGTATTCAAATTCTCGTCTAAGATTTTGAAGTTTCACCGATCTTACCTGATCCCCACCGTGATATTCGCCATATAACAGATCCCATGCCATTTTTGCTGAATCTGCGTTTGCGATTCGAGGGAAGATCTGATCGGAGACTGCGCCTTGAATGATTCCGAGAGCTTTTGCATCTTTCATGAAGATTGCAGCCATTTTCTCATCATCGTCAGTATCAACATCTGTATCTTCATCAGTCTTAGCTTTCTTCTTCTTCGAATCGGGAGTTGAAATTCCTTTTTCCACCAGACTCCATAGTCCATGTGACTTGAAAATGGTAACCATTTTGATTCTCCAGAACTCGTAGTTCTCACCGGAGAAGATCGGGGTCCTTACTTCAGTACTCCCAGATTCAGCCATCGTGAGCTTGTGTGAATCCAGGAACACGTAGTTCTTAGATCACAAATAAACTCCGGCAAACTTCACCGAACCCAAAACCGGTGATGTTTGAGTGCACAGAACACGCCCAGATCTAATCGAACATAGGCTCTGAGGCCATGTTAGTATTTTAAAGAGAGCAAATTCGAAAGAGAAAAAGAAAACAGAGAGAGAAGGTGGTGGTTCTTTCTTCTGCAATTACTCAGAAGAATAATGTTTTCATTAAATGTCTCTCTAGCTTGCACTCAACGTGCAAGAGAGGATATATAGCTTTACAAAACCTGAGCTGGATCATGGACATTCAAAATAACAGATCTCAGCCACACATTTAGCTAATCTATAAGATCATCACACATGGCACTCATGGCCTTTACATCTATATATCTTCTCACTTAGTATTTTAACATAAGTGCATACACATATTAACATCACAACTTATTTCTAATCAGCTAGAGACTTATAATTCAACACATCTTAGCCACCTCACGAAACATAAGCTATGAAGCTCTGCAGAGAAACACTGTGCCTTGCTCTCAGAGAGGTGCTTCCTCCAACAACTGCAAGCCGGGTGCTCAGAATCAGAGTAACCCCTACAACCGTGGATGCAGTGCTAATGCTCGTTGCCGGAGTTGATCACGCAGTGTAGCATTTTTTTCAATCTTTAGTCACTTTCATTTAATAGAACATGTTATTGTAATGTAACTTTATATTACGCTTTATCTTCTATTTCAATCCCAACTTCAATATCTTCTGTTTCAACCTGGATTTAATTTAAAATCAATCCGAATATGTGAATCCGAGTGTAGCCAAATTTGAATCCTCCCATGAATTTGGATTAGATTAGAATATCGCTCAAATATAAAAAGAAAAGATATCCTAACAACTTTGTGTGTATTTTGTCTCATCTTCCTATGCTTGGATTAACTAACTAGAGTTGACCCATCAAGGGCGGACTATTCAGAAGAGGTAAATCCCTGAACGAGAAATCTGACCCAGGCCGACCACAGTTGAAGGAGGGAAAGGAGTTCCAGAATCATGGTCCTATGACGTTCTATATTTCACCAAGATCAGCTCTAAATTTTTACAATTCTAACTTTTTGCACTAGGTTAGAGTACGAACTAGTATTAGAATTACTCTGTTTCAATTCTTGATTTTTATGTGGTTATGTGGAGTCAAAAAGTATTTGAGTTCTACTTTACATTGATAATTCAACAACTAAAAAATAAAATAAAAATAGAAAAAAATATGTCAAAAGATTTCCTACTCCTAAATTTCTTTCATTGTATTTTTGACTTTCTGGATTCATAATTTTTCATTCTAATTTTTTAAGTAAACATGCACGTCATATATTCATAAAAATTTCCTACTCCTAAATTGAGGACTAAATTTATAAGCATGTCTAAATTTCGTGATTATGCTAAATCAACAACAACAAAAAAATCACTCCCATACGTGGGACCCGTCACTAAGCGAATGAAGGAATTTTCATTATGGTACAACTAAAAGGGCATAAAATTTCAACACGTAAAAACTAAAACATCACCTAGGGTTTATGGGTTTGCAACTCTTGTTTGTACAACAACCGCCTCTTTCCGGAAGCATAAGCTTAATAATAATGGCGGACAATGCCGTGAAGGCATCCCCCCTGGGGCCCAATACGTCAAACGTCTCGATAAATCTCAAATCCGTCCCCCTAGATTTTTCGCCGGCAAACCGCTGGTACTCCTCTAACGCCGAAGACAAACACCAATTCTGAAATTTCCTCAGGCAACCCACCAGACAACCAGTCCGATGCTTGCCGCATTTGCAGTGGATCAACACCGGATGATTCTCAATTTCAACCAAAACTTTCAGTGCCTCGGAGATAGTCTCTGCTGGAATCAGCGGAGACGTAGACCGCTCCTTCTTGCCCTCGATTCCGAACTGGAAGAGCCGAATGCCTTGCGACGGAAGAAACTCCAAACTCTCCTCCGGGTAGGGCTTGTTGAATTGTAATCTTGTCTTGGCCCAAAGATAATGGATCTAGCCCATGCACAAAGAAAGATCCATGCACATGCTAGAAAATTCTAGCAAAGTTCAAATTGGTGGAAGAGTCTAGAAGAATGGTGAGGATTCCACCAACATACAAGATTAGTGTAGATAATTCTAGCATAGGAAGGTAGTGGAATTGTCTAGATATATCTAGCATGATGTTTCCATGTTTCTCCAAGGTTCCATCCATGCCTATAAAAGGAGAAGGCATCCACACCATTTGAAACAACCAAGAGAGCAAGTAGTGCGAAGTGAGAAGAAGCAACAAAGCTTCTAAGAGTGTTTGAGTGTTTCCTCTTGTACTAGTTTGTGAGTGAATAAAAAATCTTGTGTAAAAACTTTGAGTGTTCTTTCTTTCTCTTGCCTATCAATTCCGCTGCATTACATTCTTCTTTGTGAGATAAACATCTCCAAAGTAGTGAAGTCTTTTTAAGCCCTAACAAAGTGGTACCAGAGCTATGGCTAGCAACGCTATGACAGCCTTCCAAGTTCCAGTGCTCGACAACAACAACTTCAATAATTGGAGTATCAAAATGAAGGCCCTTTTGGGAGCACATGATGTATGGGAAGTCGTGGAGAAAGGCTACACTGAGCCAGAAGATGAAGCTACTCTGTCCCAACCCCAGAATGAGAGTTTGAAAGATTCAAGAAAGAGAGACAAGAAGGCTCTACCTCATCTACCAAGCATTAGATGACAATGGCTTTGAGAAAGTCTCGAGTGCAACCTCTGCCAAGCAAGCATGGGAGAAGCTTCAAACCTCTTACAAAGGAGTCAAACAAGTGAAAAAGGTTCGTCTTCAAGTACTAAGAGGTGAGTTCGAATCTCTACAAATGAAAGGGTCTGAATCAATCTCTGATTATTTTTCAAGAGTCTTAGCCGTTTCCAATCAATTAAAAAGAAACGGAGAAAAGTTAGAAAATGTTAGAATTATGGAGAAGATACTACGCTCGTTGGACCCCAAGTTCGAGCACATTGTCGTGACGATTGAAGAAACAAAAAACTTGGAAGAAATTAGTATAGAGCAATTAATGGGTTCACTACAAGCATATGAAGAGAAACATAAGAAGAGGCAAGGGAATGATGAGCAGCTCCTCAAGACGCATGTCCAGCCAAAGAAGAAAGAAGAAAGATTGGATAATGAGAGAAGCCAGTACGAAAGAAGTCGCGGTCGAGGTCGCGGACATGGACGTGGACGTGGTTGGAACTTCAACAATCATAACAACTACGAAAAAGGAGGAAGCTCAACAAATGGTCATGGAAGAGGACACTCAAACTTGAGGTATGAAAAATCTCAAGTTCAATGCTACAATTGTCAAAAGTTTGGGCATTATGCTTGGGAATGTAAAGCTCCAAGCAACAGGCCTGATGAGAAGGTCAATTATGTGAAAGAAAAGAAAGAAGATAATGGCATTGTGCTACTAGCATGCAAGAACAATGATGGAGACCAAGACTATACATGGTATCTTGACACCGGCGCTAGCAACCACATGTGCGGAAGAAAAAGCATGTTCGTAGAGCTCAATGAATCGGAGAGTGGCAACGTTTCTTTTGGAAACAAATCCAAAATACCCATCAAAGGAAAAGGTAACATCCTTATTCCCTTAAAAAATGGTGGTCACCAATTAATTTCAAATGTCTACTACGTGCCTAATATGAAAAGCAACATTTTGAGCTTGGGTCAACTCTTAGAAAAAGGTTATGATATTCACATGAAAAATTATAGCCTTTTTCTTATAGATGACAAAGGAAGATTAATTGCCAAGGTGAAAATGTCAAAGAATAGGATGTTTCCCATGAACATTCAAAACAATGTTGCAAAGTGTCTCAAGATATGTTACAAAGACACATCATGGCTTTGGCATCTTCGTTTTAGGCATCTTAACTTTGGGGGACTGGAGTTATTATCCAAGAAGGAGATGGTGAGAGGCTTACCGTGCATCAGTCGTCCTGATCAAGCTTGCGAAGGATGTTTACTTGGGAAACAGTTCAGGAAAAGCTTTCCAAAAGAGTCAACCACAAGAGCCCAGAAGCCACTCGAACTCATTCACACCGATGTGTGCGGTCCAATAAAACCAAGCTCTTTGGGTAAAAATAAATTATTTCCTTCTCTTCATTGATGATTTTTCAAGGAAAACCTGAGTGTATTTCTTAAAGTAGAAATCATAGGTATTTGGAGCATTCAAGAAGTTCAAAGCTGCTATAGAAAAAGAAAGTGGTTGCAAGATTAAAGCCATGAGATCTGATCGAAGAGCAGAATTCACTTCGAAGGAATTTCAAGAATTCTGTGAAGCCAATGGAATTCGTCGACATTTGACAGTTCCAAGATCCCCTCAACAAAATGGTGTGGCGGAAAGAAAAATCGAACCATCCTCGACATGGCTCGAAGCATGCTCAAAAGTAAGAGATTGCCTAAGGAGTTGTAGGCAGAAGCTGTATCATGTGTTGTCTACCAATCCAATCGGTCTCCAACAAGAAGTGTGTGGGGAAAGACTCCGCAAGAAGCGTGGAGTGGAAGAAAACCAGGTATCTCCCATCTAAGAATTTTTGGAAGCATAGCCCATGTACATGTACCAGACGAGAGGAGAACCAAACTCGACGACAAAAGTGAGAAGTTCATCTTCATCGGCTATAACTCAAATTCAAAAGGCTATAAGCTGTATAATCCAAACAATGGGAAGATGGTAATCAGTCGAGATGTGACGTTCGATGAAGAATGAGAATGGGATTTTGGCTCTCATGCAGGTGATCTTCACTTTTTTCCTTAGTTTGAAGAAGAGAATGAACAAGGGATGATGGAGCAAGCAAGAGGGGTTCAACAAGAATCCACTATTCCACCTGCTTCACAAACATCAACCAATCATGGCAATTCACCAGCATCAGCATCATCAAGTGGGAGTCTAAATGAAAGAGAAGTACCACACATAAGAAGTCTACGAGATCTCTATGAGGTAGCTGAAAGACTTGATAATCCTACACTTTTCTGTCTCTTTGCTGATTGTGAACCAGTTGACTTCCAAGAAGCAATGCAAGATACTAAGTGGAGGAAAGCAATGGATGAAGAAATTGAAGCAATCCATAAGAACAATACATGGGAACTCACTATTCTCCGAAATGACACAAAGCCATCGGAGTCAAATGGGTGTATAAGACAAAGAAGAATGCCAACGGAGAGGTCGAAAGATACAAGGCGAGATTAATGGCAAAGGGCTATAGTCAAAGAGCCGGAATCGACTATGATGAGGTATTTGCACCCGTTGCTCGGTTGGAAACTATACGATTACTAATTTCTTTGGCAGCTCAAAACAAATGGAAGATTCAACAAATGGATGTGAAGTCTGCTTTCTTAAATGGAGTCCTTGAAAAAGAAGTCTACATTCAGCAACCGTTTGGCTATGAAATCAAAGGGCATGAAGACAAAGTTCTGAAGCTGAAGAAAGCCCTTTATGGGTTAAAACAAGCGCCACAAGCATGGAATAGTTGCATCGACAAGTACTTCCAAGAAAACAACTTCATCAAGTGCCATCATGAACATGCTCTCTACGTTAAAGTCAAAGATGAAGATATTCTGATTGTGTGCTTATATGTGGATGATATAATCTTCACCGGAAGTAATCCAAGCATGTATGAAGAGTTCAAAAGAGTGATGACCAAAGAATTTGAGATGACCGACATCGGGCTGATGGCATACTACCTAGGCATTGAAGTCAAGCAGAACGAAGAAAGCATTTTCATCTCCCAAGAAAGCTACACATATGAGATACTGAAAAAGTTCAAAATGAAAGACTGCAAGCCCATAAGCACGACAGTGGGGTGCGGAGTCAAACTAACCAAGCATGACGAATGAGAAAGTGTAAATCCAACATTTTTCAAGAGTTTAGTTGGAAGCTTGCGCTACTTGACATGCACAAGACCAGACATTCTCTATGCCGTCGGATTAGTCAGTCGCTACATGGAGAATCTCACAACTACACACTTGAAGACCGCCAAAAGAATTCTTCAATACCTTAAAGGTACTATTAACTTTGGCTTGTTCTATTCAAGTTCTGATAACTACAAACTTGTTGGATATAGCGACAGTGATTGGGCAGGAGATTCCGACGATAGAAAAAGCACTACTGGATTTGTGTTCTTTATGGGAAACACTGCATTCACATGGATGTCGAAGAAGCAATCGATTGTCACTCTCTCTACCTGCGAAGCTGAATACATAGCTGCTACCTCATGTGTCTATCATGCAATCTGGCTGAGAAACTTGCTAAAAGAATTAAACATGCCACAAGAATAGCCAATAGAGATCTATGTCGACAACAAGTCTGCAATAGCTCTAGCAAAGAATCCAATATTCCATGACATGAGCAAACACATAGATACCCGCTATCATTACATAAGAGAGTGTATTGCAAGAAAGGATGTGCAAGTGGAATACGTGAAGTCACAAGACCAAGTCGCCGACATATTCACCAAACCACTCAGGCAAAAAGACTTTGTCAGATTAAGGAACACAATCGGCGTCACAAGACAAGATTAAGGGGGGATGTTGAATTGTAATCTTGTCTTGGCGCAAAGATAATGGATCTAGCCCATGCACAAAGAAAGATCCATGCACATGCTAGAGAATTCTAGCAAAGTTCAAGTTGGTGGAAGAGTCTAGAAGAATGGTGAGGATTCCACCAACATACAAGATTAGTGTAGATAATTCTAGCATAGGAAGGTAGTGGAATTGTCATATATCTAGCATGATGTTTCCATGTTTCTCCAAGGTTCCATCCATGCCTATAAAAGGAGAAGGCATCCACACCATTTGAAACAACCAAGAGAGCAAGTAGTGAGAAGTAAGAGGCAACAAAGCTTCTAAGAGTGTTTAAGTGTTTCCTCTTGTACTAGTTTGTGAGTGAATAAAAAATCTTGTGTAAAAACTTTGAGTGTTCTTTCTTTCTCTTGCCTATCAATTCCGCTGCATTACATTCTTCTTTGTGAGATAAACATCTCCAAAGTAGTAAAGTCTTTTTAAGCCCTAACAGGGCTCAGGGCAGAGATAGATAATGGAACGGAGTTGAAGGGATTGGAGGAATGGGAAGTTTGACAGCTGCGGGAAGCCTGATCGGAATACGCCCTCATCCACCATCGAGAAATTGATGGGCGGCTCCAAAACGTTGTCGTTGTTGGTCATGGTCATGTTTTGCTGCTTCTGTTTCGAGTCCTCTTGTTCTTAATTAATTATACAAACTGATTATTTGTTAATTCGACGAAGAATGCATTTATATATGAAGCTGTAACTGAAATATATTAGCCAACGTAGTTTGTAAACGAACTAACTAGAATCCCTAACCGATCAGGACTAGGAGAAATTATAGAATAGAATGTTGTTGTTTCGGTTTGAATTTGGCCTTAGATTATAACTTTCAATTTATTTCCTAAGAAAAGGAGTTCGAGGTTTGGGTGAATTCGTCTTCCCCAGCCATAAATATTTAAACCTCAATGGTTGGGGGTCAATCGGATCATATATTTCGAGTAGTCGAAATTGAAGACAGAAAATTTACACTACAAAAATCTAATTGTACATTTATTGTAAGAATATTTTTCTTTTTAAATATAAATAATTATAAATACACACTTAAATTTTTAGGTGACAATAACATTTCTCTAAAAACAAATGGGTATCTTACTTTTAAAGATGCCCACCATAAAACAAACAAATTGTTTAGAAATAACATGTATAAAAGCATACAAACAGAGAAACGAACAAGATCGAAACATTTTGTCTCCAGCTATTTAATAAAACCACAAAACATTGTTTTCTTAGAAACGACGAGAGCAAACGAGGAATAATATTGATCAAGACATTCCACCATCCATCTCTACTGGGCAAATTGTTCGGTTCTAGTAAAATAATACAACTAACGCATTTTTTTTAGTGAATAAATACATCCATGTCTGATGGGCAAATTAGGTTCTTGTAAAGTTTTTGTTTCCCTCTTTTCTTCTATATAAGTGTAAGGGCCAAAGTCGTTTTTCCTTCAACTCTGGTACTAGTGGAAAATGTCAAATTCTAGCAAGGTGGAGACGAGTGTTGAAATCAAGTCTGAAGCAAACAGGTTCCATGAATTCTTCGCACGAACACCATACGAAATATGCAACATCAGCCCCGACAAAGTTCCGAGTCATAAATTACTTGAAGGTGAATGGGGTAAAGTGGGTTGTGTCTTCTTGTGGGATTATATTGAAGGTAAGTGTGGCTCAAAGATTGTTCTCTTACTGTATATGTCTACATGTTTTTTTGTGGATGAAGCAAGTAATTGATTTTGTGATGAAATGTTAGCAGATGGGAAACCAACTTTTTCCAAGGAGTTAACTGAAGCCATAGACGATGTAAATCATTCGGTGACTTTCACAGTGCTTGAAGGAAACCCTCTAGATCGATACAAGAGCTTTAAGATCACTTTACAAGTTACTCCAAAATTAGGCGTTCATGATGAGGGCAGCGTGGTGAATTTGGTCTTACAATATGAAAAGCTACATGATGGGGTTCCGGATCCCCAACTTCAGCTCCAGTTAGCTGTTGTTCTTGTTAAGGAGACTGACAATTTCCTCACCCAAGAATAAGCGCGTCTACTTCAGACCGATCATAATAGCAGTTTCACCCGTTTGGAGAATGCAAGTGTAAGAACAAGGCAGTTGGCTTGCCCGTACTTTTTACTATGAACAATACTTTGTCTCTGTGCAACTCTACTACCAGTTGGGCAAAGACAAGAGCAAGGGCAATACTGTTCATCAATATAATATACATATACATACATACATACATACATATATATATATATATATGCTTTGTTTGGCCTTGTAAGTGTGATCCATGTTTGTTGGTATGTTTAATTTTAATTGTGTTATCTGCAAGTGTGTTGACCTTTGTAAGTTTGTTTAAATATGTTTAAGTGTGAACTTAGTAAGTTTGTTTTTTTAAAATAAAACGATTATCTAATTTCAAATACAAGGCAAAAGTATAGCATATTTGTAATGCCACTGCCCCGAAATATTTGTATATTTCGGGAAAATAATTATGTTAGGCCCAACCTAAAAACATAGCTAATTTATTTTCTCTCTTGGATCAATTTCCATCTATATACTAATTCTTGAATATTTAAACACATTTATTTTATGGCTGCATCTAACGTCTCGTTAGACTGCCTACGTACCCTCAACAGGGATCAAGCCTTTCGTAGTTCAAAACTTCAAAATTTAAACCAAACCTGAAAATATTCTTTTAATCCAACATATACCAAAAACGTAGTAATATTCAAACCACATCAATTAAATCTCAAAAACATAATTAAAATAACGAAATTCGCATAAAACACACTTGTAGGCTCCCTGGCCGTGCGCTACTGCACCCGCCACCGCGGGTGGCGGTCGGCCGTCCCGGTTCGCTTAAAAATTCAATTATTTTTAAAAATTCTCAAAAATTACAGAAATGAAGATCTCAATGAGTAGAGAAACTTTCACACCTGCAACCAAGGCCAATTTGGCCTGGAAAAGGCTCCAATTTCATCAAAATCCGTCGGAACCCTAAGATTTGGGTGTCCTCAATTCGACTCCATAGCAACTCCGACACCCCAACCAATGAATGGGCTTTATTCCAGCTCTTAAGGGGAGTCTAATGGTGGTTGTAATTGAACCAAAACATTTCAGATTTTGATGGATTTCAAGCAAGGAAAGTCGCGGCACCGAGTGTTCTTTCTCCAAATTTCAAGACCAAATTTTATGATTTTTGGGATGCAATAGGAAGAGGGAAGATCGTGGAGGGGGTTTCCAAGGGGTGGTTTGATGCATTTCACCGGAAAAAAGGGGTGAAAATCCACCGGAAAAGTGTATGATGCCGATCGGGTCGGGTCACCAAGACCCGGGTCCCGATCCCCCGTGTCTCTCTTCTCTCCTTTCTCCCCATTTCTCTCTTCTCTCATTGGTCACCTTTCATCCCTCTTTTTCTGATTGGCTCCTCTCTCCCTCCTTTCTCTCCTTTATTTTCCATCTACACCGCCCATTTTCTGTCTTTAAATCTCGGCCACACACGTGGCCTTCCAGATTTTTCTCAAAAATCTGGAATTATCTTGAACTTAACTATTTTACTAAAATGCCCCTAACTTTAAACGTTAATAAATTCTTCGTTCTAACTCTGTTTCACGAACAGTTTGCGCCTACGCATTCATGAGGTCGAGCTCTATTCAAAAATATGATTTTTGACCTCGAAAGGTCTACGTATTTTAAATAATTAAGGTCCAAACTTTAAATCTCATAACTAGTTTAATTTAAAACTAAACTTACACAAATTATTATAAATTCTTGAAAAATCATATAAAAGCTCAGTAATATGCTCGATTTAATTCTTCATAATCATAAATCGATTTATTTTCGATTTTCTCCACATATTCATATATTTAAAATTTTCAGGGTATTACAATACTAAGGCCTCGTTTGGTAGTCCATATAAGGAATCGGATAGGATAAGTAATATGGATCCGGGTGTTTGGTGCAACTACGTACTAAATAGTACCCGTATTACTTAAACTGGGCCCACATCTTTTATCCGGTGTCTGCCCGCTTATTTATCCTTCCAGAAATCTCTGTATTATTTAGTTGGGTTCGTGTCCTCGCTTCATCGGTGTGGCGCATCGTTCTCTTCTCACTTCTGTTACCATCGTTCTTCTTCCTCCTTCTCCTTTCTTCTTCTCTCTCTCCTCAAACCCATTCACCAAATCGCTCAATCGTCAATCTCAGGTTCTTCTTCCTCCTCCTTTCTTCTTCCCTTTCTCTTTTCTTCTTTTTTGCCTCTCTCTCTCCTCTTTAGTTCCTTATGCGGGACCCGCACGGGTTCACGTGCCATCGACCCTGGATTTGAACTAGATCTGACCGAAACCCACGTCGTCGGAGCACTAGAATTGCCTGCATTCACCTACTGCCCAACATCGCTGCAACACCGTTCAACGATATCGACAATCCAATGCAACCTCTCGATAAATTGAAAATAAAATTATGGATTAAATTTAGGAAATCAGGTATCATATAGTCACTGGGAATCTCCAGTTCATATCATTACTTCAAGTAAATGTCGTTCTCACTGGGAATCTCCAGTACGTTAAATTTGGGAAATGTTGATAATCTGCAGTTTGATATGGGTAACTGCCGTTCTCACTAGCCATTGATGCCAACACCGACAATCCGCTTCTTCTGTATAGAGGGGGAAGATTTTCTTGAACTGGTAAGGAAAACTGGAGAAGGGAGTGAGGGTGTCTGGGGGCTATGCGATGGAGAAGATCTGGGGAAGAAAGGATTTTTTATTTTTATTTTTTATAATTTGGTTTAAATAAAGGACAAATAGAAAATACAATATCAAAGTTCAAAATCACAAACAATATTATTTTTATTTTATTTTTTATTTTGATGCATTTGGTTGTTGTGATTTTTTTTTTCATTAGTCATCAAATTTTTTTAGTAAAAATAATATAATCCGATCTCTTATCCAGTACAGTACCAAACACATTATAAATAATACGGTTATTAATACGATACTGCACCAGACGCCTGACTAATTTAGTCAGTACAGTCCGATGACAGATTATCCTATCCGACTGAAATAGTCAGTACAGTCCGAGCAGCCAAATGAGGCCTAAGATAACCAACTACGATATTTAAACAATATTATTCTTTGTGATAGAAGGATTTGGAAAGTGAAAAACAAAGCAAAGCAACATCTTCCTCGACCGACCAAAGTACCTTCTCATTCATTTTTTTTAGTAATAAAAGGATTTGAAAAGTTGAAAACAAATTTAGAAGATTGTAGTAAAAATAAATATTGTGTTGAGAGAAATGCAGAAGATGATTCAATATTTATAGAATAATAAATAATAAAAAATCCCCTTTTTTATAATTTTTAACTGTTGGATTAATCATGGCCATTCATTTCCAAACATATCTAAAATCATATGCATTAGAATGTGACACATGTCAAAATGATAAGTTTTTCAATTTTTTACTGTTGGAATTGGAAATCCGATAGTCCAGAACATTAGGCCATTGAAAATTTAACGACTCACAAATTGTCACGTCATAGAGATGTTGATGGTGGCTGTTAGATTATGCAGTGGGCCCCACGACAATCGAAGTTGGAAGTTGTTAGCTCACTTGCTGAGTTCATGCGTTCATTGCAATCGCCAGACACAAAAAAAAACAAAAAAGCCTTGCCCGCTAGCGTAAGGGCTGAGCATAAGTTGCTCAGGCTGCCCTCTTCTTCTTAGCCTGCTGGAGGAGGGTTTTTGGGTTGGAGAGCATGTTTCAAGCCTCCGCCCTTGCCATCCAGACTTATTCTAACCACATTTTATCAATGGGTCCAACCACCATCTAAACGCTTGTAACAAGCCATAAATTAGTGAGAAAGAGATTCACAGACCCAACCACCCACCCAAACCTCTCCTTTTTTTATTCCTAATGTGTACAACGGATTGTTTTTTCTCGTCTTCTTTTTTGCTAGCACTACTACAAAATAGGGCTTTCATGACACTTGGTAAAATTTTTAATGACATTCTTTTATTAAAAATGTTATTAAAGTAATATTATGATGCAACTAAAAAAAATGTGTTGTTCAATAAAATATGCGGAAGATTTTAAAAGGAAAAGTGGAAGATTTATCCCTTAAATCTCTCAAGCAGTTATAGATTATTTCTTTTTAACGCCACTACGCTTGAAAAGCACGTTGTTTATCAACTGCGCAAGGTTGGGAAGTTCGGTGAGATCCTTACCAAGATTGACAGGAGGTCTGGCAAGGAGATTGAGATGGAGACAAAGTTCTTGAAGAACGGAGATGCAGTTATGGTGAAGATGCTTCCTACCAAGCCCATGGTTGTGGTGACATTTTCTGAGTACCATCCATTAGGTTGCTTTGTTGTTTGTGGCATGCGCCAGATTGTTGCTTTTGGTGTTATCAAGAGTGTTGAGAAGAAGGATCCCATCGATGCCAAGGTCACCAAGTCTGCTGCTAAGAAAAAGTGAACCATTGTCAGTACTCAAATTTTCACTCACTCAAACTTATGCTTTTATGATACAAACTCTTATCTTAGTTGTGTGGTTTTAAGTGGTTTGGTCAGTTTAGTTTGTAGTTGTTTCAATTATGGTCTGATGTCTTCATTCTCGAGTGTCCGCTCCTAGAATTGGGTTCTGGACAGGCGGTGGTGACGCATCTGGTTTATGCTTAAGAGAGTAGGTTTGTCTTCATCATTCATATTTAATAGACTGATATTTGCAAGATTCGTAAAGCAAGCAGAGGCAATCTTATGGATTGGTATTTAAGAGAGTTGGTTTGTCTAAAGGATTTTTATATGCTTTTGAAAATTGTTCTTGGATTTTTTTTATATGAATCATGACAGGTCTTTCAGAATCAAAATTTTGTTCAGTGATGATGACAAACATCACTCCAAAGGTACACTCTCCCTCCCTTTCTCTGCATGCGTGTTGCTTTTTTCTATCACTCATCTTCATTTTGGTCATAGGAATAATTTCGTATCCTGCTCATTCAGTATATAATCTTATAAATTTTATGTTTATTTTTTTTTAGTTCAATTATTGAGATGATAAGTTGTAGCACCACAAGTTCGATCTCAGCTAGTATGCTACAGACTTGCCCTCCACCCAGACCTCATAAAAATTGCATCAGGTTTAGGCTTTGCTTTCAAGTCTTGGATAAATATGTGTTTATTCTATTTTTATTTAACCTCTAATTTAAACTGCAAATTGAACCACTAATTTACGGTTGCTATTTAGTTGTGCACAAATAAAGAAGAACGAGGACAAGGGAGACGGGAAGATCCACGGTGATCAACAAAGAGTTTTCCTATTTGTTTTTCTGTTGTCTTATGGT